CAAGCGATCTGAAGATAATTCTGAGTCGCGTTCAGCAGCTTTCGGAGGTAAACCTTTGACAGAGTGAGATGTGGCAATTGTGTGCTGAAATTCCCACAATCACGTAGGGGAGTTCTGCCCCGTCACACCCTTCCGATCTCCCCCCCTTCCATGATTTCGTTCCCCCCGCCCCACGCCATTCCGACACTTTCCCCACAGCCCCGTTCGACATTTCCGAATCTTTCCCTCCAACTCAAATTCGTTTCCCCCCCCTAGCAATTTCAGACCCCCCCCTTGTCACGGGATCGAATGAGGTTTAGCTCGATGTTCCACTATCAATCAGTACAAGGTGCTTTTATACTTCCATAGTACATCAGGTAACCAGGTTTATCCTATCCAAAGGGAATAGACCCTTCTAGAAATAGAATCACCCTGCGTATAGCCATGCAAGGCTATTGGCTTTAAGGGATTACGACAGGATTACGCTAGATATAGCGTGCCAGTACATCCCGAGCCTGGTCGGTGACATAATTATAATAACAGGATAAAGCAAAGGATAATGGAAAAGGAGGAATAGGAAACCAAATGAGATGAGATCAAGACCAAATGAATCAGGAGTGAAAGAGGAATGAAATAGAAATGAAATATGGAAAGGGGAAATTAGTGTAACAGGGTCGTACTCTCAGACCCCTCCTCCCCTCCCCCCCTCCCGCCCTCCCCTCCCCCCCCCAACGCAATTCCCTGTCCCTTTAACCCTCGGAATTCTTACCCCCAACTTACACAATTCCGTTTTCCCCCCATTCCAACTCCCTCCCCCACGCAATTCTGGTTCCCCCAAACCCTCGCAAATCTATTTCCCCCCACGCAATTTTGTTCCCACATTTACGAAAGTCCCCCTCATTTCGCGTCAATTCTTTCCTATCGACTCTCGCCCTCCAATAATCTAAGCCCCCTTTTCTTGACCTTCGCATTGCCACCCCAAGCCGCGTTGAATGTGTACCGCGGCTTTAAGGTTTGACAATCACTGATTCTTCGAGTCTTCTACTGCGGTGGCGGCGGCGGTTGCGACGATGTCGATGGCGGCAGCTGCTACAGAGGATCCTCGCAACTCATAATGGGTTGAAGAAGAATCCATCAACTCCCACTCCCATGTAGAGTCTTTCTCCTATGTAGAGTCTTTCTGATGGGTATGACAGGCGTAACTACCAGGAACACGTGCACATTGGTACACATGTGTTGCTCCATTGCTGCCGGTGATGGTTTCATTTGAGGGTATGAAGAGAAACTTGCTTCTCCCCTCTGTGTATCCACGGGTAGCAATTCCTGGTATGCTCATCCGTGTCTCCGATGTACGGTCCGTAGAGCGCGTGATAGTTTTGTAGTAGAAAGCATCTCCCTTATTCGATGATAGCTCGTGTTGCTTGACGTTCTCTTGCATCGTCGAAGTTACGCTGATGCTTGTAACGCTTCGGCTTCTGGTAGAATCGCCTCCACCGCATGTTCCGTAGGGTCGTTTATGAACGAATACTTGTCACATTCGATGTTAATTACTCATCAATCTGTCAAGCATTGTAACGTGCACGGAAAATTTTCCACGCATGTCATTAACACATGGAATCGCAACGCATAATTGGTGTGTCGCATCGTGAGGTTGATGTTAAGACTGCTCCATCTAATCACTTCGGATGGCTGAGATTCTTTATGACGACAAATTGATCAGCTCCTATTACGAAGTAGTGTCTCGGTGGCCTTGATGAGACGGGTTTATTTCGTCGTCATTGCGTGCAAAATCTCCTTCTTTGCAACAACTTGTACTTGGGAGCATTGCAAAAGAAAACGGCTAGTTCTCTGCAATCCCATAGTTTGTCGATCAATTTATATGAAGAAGTGTCTCCATTGTTTTTCCTGGGTGAAGATCCGTTGTGTTGATGTCGATCCATCATTAATGAAGAAAACTTCGTCGAAATATGTAGATCATTATCCATACTAGTCAGAAGATGCGTCAATTGTGCAGCCGCTGGTCACGAATGTTGTCTCCATTATGATGCTATTTCATAGTGTAGTCTCCACTGCTTTTGTGCCGTTGATTCCGCACCGATCCAACGATCCACATTCTCCTGTTAGTTTTCTGCGTGCAGCTATTACCAAGTAGGTAATTCTTTGGCAGATTTCTGACTCTGCAAAGGATTTGCACGCCAAATTCGTGATCTAATAGAGGAGTTCGAATTTGGTTGTCCAGATGATGTCAGCGATGTCGAAGGTGGCTGCTTTCGTGTTCTACGCGTCATTCGTCCGTTGAAGCAGAAGTCAATCCAATGGTCCAAACTCCAAGCGATATGAAAATGTTCATGAGTCGCGCTCAACAACTTTCGGTGTCCGGGTCGACTCGTTTCCTGCAGCATTTTTCGGTCGTCGATTTTGAATGTCGAATGTTCGGATGCCCCGATGAATTTTGCGGCTTGCCAGATCATGTTCTCATTGACGCTGAAACTCTAATTTTGTCAGAAGGATTTCGTTTCACCTCGGTCGATCTGAAGCGTCGAATCTCCATCGGACGGATGTCGTCGGTCGCAACTCTACACATTTCGGCGTGACTCCAAGAATCGTGGCAAACTGCGAACTTCCTGGAATGTCGCAGGGAGTTTTCCGCCAAAACTGACACGTTCGTGAGGTCGAGGCCGTTTGCCCCCGCAAAAAAATCAACTCCGTCGATGCAGTCCATCGAACGGTTGGCGAGGCATCTCGCCTTCGATGGGGAACCCAGGTGCAACTGCGCGAGGTTAGTTGAAGTTTCGACTCCAACCTCGGCCTGCTCCTGGGGGCCCAGCAGTTAAAGCCCGAGTTCAGAATGGTTTGCCTTCAAGTTCAGGATTCCTGAACTTTTCGTGGAAAAAAGGGTAACCCGGTTTAGCACACGCAATCTCGTGACCCTCGGGGGTTGTGAGCAGAGGTTGTTGACGATGCAGCTGTTCTGCTGAAGGCAAAGAGCTTGCGAGTGCTGCAGCAAGAGACAACACTGGAGAACACTGTTTCCCACTCAGGATTCTTTAACACAACCTGTACCAAACTGAACGCATTTCCAAGGAGCCGGCACGCGTATAACTCCCTGGTAAGCTCTCTGCGCAGCCACATACTCACGATCTTCCCGTCTCCAGCTGATGCCTAAACACCACAAACTTCAAGCACGGGTACACCGCCACTCTGTAGCATTCTCGAGTTGAGCGCGAGCGTGACACCGCGGCCCCACAATAGCCCGTCGTCTGCCCCGCGATGTCGTGGAACCTTGGCCGATCTGCCATCGGCCCACTGCTGCAGAGGGGAGACTTGGCCAGAAGCGTGTATGCAACAGGCCCCACTAACCTAGCCTGCTCCTTCCTTGCCCGCTATCCCCGCACACCCGCTATTCCCCGAGCCCCCACCCCCTCCGCCTCGAGTCCCTCGCCCGCTATTCCCTAGCCCGGACCTCCCTTGCCCGCAATTCCATCGCCCGCTTTTCCCTACCTCGCGCTTCCCTTGCCCGAATTCCCCCGCGCGCTACTCCCTACCCCGCGCTCCCCTTGCCCGCAATCCCCCTGCGTGCTATTCCCCACCCCGCACCCCCCTTGCCCGCAGTTCCATCGCCCGCTTTCCCTACCCCGCGCTTCCCTTGCCACAATTCCCCTGCGCGCAATTCCCTACCCCGTGCTTCCTTTGCCCGCAATTTTCCCACCTACTATTCCCTGCCCCGCGCATCCCTTGGCGGAAATTTTCTCGCCCGCTAGTCCCACCCTGCGCTTCCCTTGACCGCAATACCATCGCCCGCTATTCCCTACCCCTCGCTTCCCTTGCGCGCAATTTTCTCGCTCGCTTTTCCCTCCCCCGCGCTTCCCTTGCCCCAGTTCCTCCGCCCGCTATTCCCGCAGAAGTGGATGGCGGATAGGCAGTGGGAGAGAGAATACGCAGGGGGTAGGAGGGGAATAAGATATGTGGAAGAAGGGGATAGGGGCGAGCGAACAAGTGAGGAGGGGGGGGGGGGGAAGGAGGAGGGGGATGTGCGTGAGGGCAGGGAATAGCGAAAGAGTCATTATGGTGAGGAGGGGGAATGGGGTTAGAGAGCCACGATGAAAGAGGGGGAAAGCATAGGGGACCCGATAAGGGGTGCACAGAAGGGCGGACAGGTGGATTGAACAGCGGTACGGGCCGCTGACGGAGTGCAGGGGAGTGAGAGACAGGGATCTTTCAGGGTACATAGAAGCGTGGGGGACAAAGCAGAGGATCGGCCACCCTGGACAAAGGACTCCTCCCCTCTCACTCCGCGCATGGCAAGGCATCGGGCAAGCCCCACACTAAGCGACATGGGTGCACTCCCCCACGCCAAAGCGCATCAGGTGTGCCCCATGCTTGGCACATATTCTCAAACCAATGCACTCTGTGCCGTTTCCGTTGTCCTCCACTTTCCCTTCTCCCATGCCCCCCTCCTCCTTCCCCACTGCTCCTCCTCTCCTCTCTCCTCTCCTCTCCTCTCCTCTCCTCTCCTCTGCTCTCTCCTCCTCTCCACGGCTCTGGGTTTACGGTCCCCTCCGCTCTCCTCTCATCTCCTCCTGTCTGCACTCCTCTCCTCTGTTCTCCTCTCCCTCTCCTCTCATCTGTTCTCCTCTGCTCTCCTCGGTTCTCCTCTCCTCTCCTCTCCTCTCCTCTCCCTTCCCTTGCTGGCGTCTCCTCTCCTCTGCTCTCCACTGCTCTCCTCTCCTCTCCTTTCCTCTCCTCTCCTCTCCTCTCCTCTGCTCTCCTCTCTTCTCCTATCCTCTCTCTCCTCTGTTCTCCTCTCCTTTGCTGTTGTCTCCTCTCTTCTCCTCTATTCTCCTCTGCTCTCCTGTGTTCACCTCTCCTCCCCTCTCCTCTCCTCCGCTCTCCTCTCTCTCCTCTCCTCGTTTCTCCCGCTCCACTCCTCTCCTCTCCTCTCCTCTCCTTTGCTGTATTTTCTTCTCCTCTCCTCTCCTCTCCTATCCACTGTTCTTCTCTGTTCTCCTCTGCTCTTCTCTCCTCTGCCCTCCTCTGTTCTCATCTCATCTCCTCTCCTCTCCTCTCCTATCCTCTGTTCTCCTCTGTTCTCCTCTGTTCTCCTCTGATCTCCTGCGTTCACCTCTCCTCCCCTCTGCTCTCCTCCGCTCTCCTGTTCTCTCCACTCCTTGTTTCTCCCTCCACTCCTCTCCTCTCCTCTCCTCTCCTTTGCTGTCGTTTTTTCTCCTCTCCTTTCCTCTCCTCTCCTCTCCTCTCCTTTGCTGTCGTTTTTTCTCCTCTCCTTTCCTCTCCTCTCCTATCCACTGTTCTCCTCTGTTCTCCTCTGTTCTCCTCTGCTCTCCTCTGTTTTCCTCTCCTCTCCTCTCCTCCCTCTCCCCTCCTCTCCTTTCCTCTGATCTCCTCTGTTCTCCTCTGCTCTCCTCTGTTCTCCTCTCCTCTGCTCTGCTCTCCTCTTCTCCCTTGTCCTCGTATCTCCATTCCACTCCACTCCTCTCCTCTCCTCTCATCCCCTCTACTTTGCTGTCGTCTCCTCGCCTCTGCTGTCCACTGCTCTCATCTCCTCTCTTCTCCTCTCCTCCGTTCTCCTCTGGTCTCCTCTGTTCTCTTCTCCTCTCCTCCGTTCTCCTCTGATCTCCTCTGTTCTCATCTGTTCTCCTCTGTTCTTCTCTCCTCTCCTCTGCTCTCGTCTTCTCCCTTGTCCTCATCTCTCCATTCCACTCCACTCCTCTCCTCTCCTCTCCTCCCCTCTACTTTTCTGTCGTCTCCTCGCCTCTGCTCTCCACTGCTCTCCTCTCCTCTCCTCTGTTCTCTGTTCTCCTCTGCTCTCCACTGCTCTCCTCTTCACTCTTCTCTCCTCCGTTATCCTCTGTTCTCCATTAATCACATCTGCTCTCCCCTGTTCCCCTCTGCTCTCCTCTGTCCTTTACCCTCCCCCTAACCTCTAGGTAAAACAGCCTCGCAGCTCGGCCTGCCAAAGGAGATGTTCCGCTCTTCTTCCAAGACCATGACCCTGAGTCTGCCCGGCATAAGTGCTCGGTTCTGCAAGGCCTCCAAAGGGACGGCAGTAGACAAAATAGCGACACAGGGGTACTCTGCGCAGAGGGATATGGTTGGGTGTTTGCATGAGCACCCGTACTCCGCAACAAGGGTTGCGGCAGGGGAGTCTGTGGCGTAGAGGGATCATAAGATCAGGAAGAGGATATGGGAAGAGTAGACCGAGACCAACGCGGGGGAGAGATAAGAGCAGACCAATTGGAAGGGACATTGTGTACGTTTGGCGCAAGGTGGGGGTAGAATACTCTCTGAACTACCCACCATGATGTTGCATCGGTTTATCCATTCTTGGGGCGCCTAGCTCACACAGTACTGCTGATTCTCTCGCTGACCCTACCCAAAACATGTTGCATTCAGGCTCTTCAGCCATGAATATACATGGCTGGAAGTGGCCAAGAAGAGACCCGTGTTGGTGCAACATCCAGTTGGACGGGATGTGTCATGTACGTCTTGGACGCAGGGGAAGGGTCAACGTGCACTGTATGCCTTGCAAGTAAACATACGCGAGGTTCATAAAAAAACCACTGGGACTAGGCATTTAGAACCAGCACGCCAAAAAACGTGACGCAGCAGAGTGGGTGGTATGTGAGGAACCATGGCTTGGAGCCAAGCCAGTGAGCGGTGACGGAATAATAGCATGGAGGCCCGTAGAGCCTAGAGTTCATCAACAGATTTAGAGTAGAGTGTGCGTTACTGGCAGTAAAGGAAAATGCCCCATTGGTGATGAAACAACATGCGTGAATTTGGCCCCAGTCAGACAGAGGGAGGGGGGCTGCCAAAGTGATTGGAAGGGGGGGTGGTGAGGCATAAGGGGAAACGTATGAAGCAGCATGGAAAAGGAAGTGAACGAAGGGTCATGATGTGACTGAAGGCAATCCTGTGCAAAGAGGGGGGGTAACCCCCATCAGGGGGGGGCCAAGGGGAGTGGTAATGGTGCTTGGTAGCGTGGGGGGGAAACCTGGAGGCAAGAGCAGAGGGGCCAGCCTAAGGTATGCAGCCAAGGAAGTAAGTCGGGTGAAGGGGGGGGGGGGAACAAATGAGGAAACTGTCGATTGTGAACCCTAGGTCATGCAGTTTGGGAAGATTAGGGAGGGGAGATACGGAGGGGCAAGGGGAGTGGTAATGGTGCTGGGAGGAAATCAGGAAAAGTACAACAGAAGAGCCCACAATAAGGCAAGGCGGGAGGGGGAGAGGGGAGGAATTGAGAAGATGAGGTAGGGTGTGAGAGTGTGCTGCGAGGTCACCTAAAGAGTAGGCGGGGTTGCTGCTGGTTTCGCACTGGCGAGGCGTGGGGGCAAAAAGGGAAGCTTGGGGGGTTTCCACTGCATGGCTCTGGCCGTGCCCGTTTAGCGAGGGAGATTGGTGGAGTCGGCTGCGAAACAGATGGAGGGAAAAGGGGAGGGCGGAGGGGAAGGGGGAAAAGCCAAAGACCATATAAGCACAAATGTATATGGCATGAAAACATCACGAAATAGCTGACAATATGGGACACCCACCCAGGCAACGGCGGCTGGACACCGGGCGAGTTGAGGCAGTGCGGTGACCCCGCCTACTGCGGAGCACTGGTGCAGACGGCGCCGCACTCAAAGCTGCTGGCCTTGTCGTGGCAGTGCATGGAGGCGTCGAAGCGCGTGGGCGAACTGCCGGGGGCGCACTGCTTGGTGGATCCTCCTCGATCCCACCCTCTTTCTCACCATTCAAGGATCTTTGCCACTCGTCCATGATCCGATCCACCCAATCCCAATCCATCGCACTTAACCTCTGATCCGCACTACCACGCCTTATACGGGTGACCTCTCGGACACGAGTGCGATTAGCAGTCACCAGTCTGTCCATGGAGTTGTTCCAATGGAGGACAGCTAGATCGACCCGTGCCTCAAAGCTTCCTTGGAAACGAATGCGCTTAGGGGCGTACTTCATGATTAGGGAATGAAATGAATCATTAATGGAGCTGCACGCTCCATGGACGTAGGACTTGCCCTTGTCCGCCCCACACCGTTTCCGGACCGCCTTGTGTGTTGCAGATTCCTGCTCGTATATGGCTTGAGCTCGCCCCCAGTTCTCTCTTACACAGCGAGGAGGAGTCTGTCCCGCCCTCGCACACCCTGAATGGTCCCCTGCCCAATGGTTTGCTGCCATTCCTAACTCCTCTGCCACCTCCTCAGGTGTCATCGGGTTCCCCACCGCCTTCCTAGTGCCACATCGCGTCATCGCGTGGAAGAAATGGACGGCGAAGCGCTTAGCCATGATTATCTCTTCCTCACTTGCATGTGTAGCTCCCCCGTACCTCTGCCGTTTCCGTCGCCCCGTCCACTGTGGCAGCGCATCTGAGGGGTTGGCCACACCACCAACACCTGTAAAATCATCCTCATCCAAAGTACGAGCAATACCCTCTTCCGCTGCCCTCCCCTCGCCCGACGGCATATGCTCACCGGCCGTACCTCACATGGGGAAACAAAAAGTGTTAGAAATAGTACAAGATAGAAACAAAGCTCACAACCGGATGCCAACAATGGGTCGGCAACAATGTCATGCTCACCAGACACCCCATCGTCGTGAGACCATGATTTAGTCCCACCAATGAACTGGGAATGACCGCCTATCCCGGAATGCGCATGCACTATGAGCGAGGACGCCACAGAGGAGGGCCTGCTGCCATAGACCGGATGCACATCGTAACCCCATAGCCCGTCCACGTCTGCCCACTCCACCTCAACCGCCACGCCATCTGATGGTGTATCAACAACCACACCCCCCTCCACGTGCGGACGCTCAACATCTGTAGCCGTCCGTCCCAAAGTGGCGCCCGCTACCTCGCCGTAGGCCACAGGTACATCCACAAACGTCCTCTCGCCCCCACGCGCAACGCTTTCCTCAACTCGGGGTGCTTCCACTTGGCCTCTTCTGGCGTCATGTTGACGTACTCAATGGAGTCAGAAGCATCACACACTGCATGCACCAGTGCCTCCTTGAGTGACTGCTTCGACTCTCGTTCCCTCTCACTATCTTTCAACCATTGCTTGAGCCCCTCCACGGTCGCAAGCCATAGATCTTGGACACATGCTGCATTGTTCACCAGGACCACTGCTCGCACAAGGTCCTGTAATTCCTTGCAGAGCAAGTTGTAGAGTGTACGTTTTACATGCCACCAATCCACTTGATGATTCAGGTTGCGGTCAGTAGCCGCCCCCTGAAAGTTGTGCCCTGATCCGAAATTAACCCTTCCACCAAAAACCCCTTCGCAGCCAGCTCATCGACACCTAGGTCGAATGCTTTCCTCTCCAACCTAACTGAAGAGTCATCACGATATCGTCCATGAATGATATCATGCACCACTCTCCCTCTCGCACATGAGACCACCGGCCATCAACTGTAACCCATTCTCCCGGTTTCTCGCGTACGCTCATCTCACCGCATACTGCCTCCATCGACCTATCTGCCTCTCGAAGTATCGCGTTCCACAACTCATTATCAGCCCCTAGATACCCGTAGAAAGTGGCCTTCGCGGGTGTGGGAATCCCAAAGTTGCGACTAAACTCCCACGTCTGCTGATATCCCATACCGGCTAGGGCGAACGCCCCCACATACTTGGACTGCAGAATGGGCTTCCGCGGACCCCCAGTCGCGCGTGCCTTCTGAATGGTCCTACTAGTGCACGACCAGAACTCAACCCCATGCGAGCAATCCTCACATCGCCTAAACATTCCCACCGAAGCCCAGGAGAACTTTGATGACTTCAACTCCATCTCGCCCCCGCAAACCCCTCTGTGAGAGCATACCAAACGACATCCCTTGAAAAACCTGATCAGTGTGCGTGGCTCCACCAAACGTACCAGTTTCTCAGCAATGGCATCCATAGTTGGGGACTTAGGCCAATACCGAGGGACCTTATCCCGTGCACTGGATGATGGCATACAACTCGCCCGCCTAGTGGAGGGTGGTGGGGGGGGGGGGGACAAAAAATAGGAGAATGCACTGATGTTAGCAACAAGGTGCGGAGTGCCCGCCGGGATGGGGGAAGCAATGGTAAGACGTGCTCGCTTGTTTCCGATTTCCAAAAGTGAATTGTTCACTGTGGCCGAGAGGGGGGGGGGGGGGAGGGAATTGAGACCGTTCTGGAGAAGAGTTAAACTTGTCATGCGCTCACCATGTTACCTACCTTGCGGCCGACTGAGCTGCACCGCCAGAGGGGGGTGGTCCCAAGTGGTTGTGCGGAGTGTCTGCACCTAAGACCTCCCCACTACGAAGAGGGTCAGAGACCCCACAGTGCGTCTGCGGTACTGGTACAGCACCCGCGCATCCGTAGTGTGTGCCCTCCAAGGCACCACCTACAAAGCCTATGCCATTCGCTGCTGCACACCTATATGTGCGGGGGTAGTTTATTTGCCGGAGGGAGTATATTGGTATTTTGGTACCTCAACACGCGATGTGGCAATGTGGGAGAGAACTTGATACTATGGATAGCCGTGCACGTGCCATGAGATTGCGTAGCGCGGAGATGCTATTGGAGACCCTAAACACGTGGCACGGGCAGGGCGGGGTTCGCCCTACATCGACGTCATGAGGGGGGGAGCAAGGACACCACCAACCATACAGCATACCTCATGGGGGACAATGCAGTGACACCCATAGGAGCGGGGACGGGCGTCTGGCTTCGTGCAGTGCCCACACCCGGGATTCCCACACTTGGGGGGTGTGAGGACATTCCACCATCCGCGTTAGCATGGCACGCTCCCTCAGTGGCACCATCTACCAGGCTGTCACTCTCCACAGCAGCCATGTCTCCTTGTCCAGGCTCACTCTCGCACCCCTCGCTGGCTGTGTTGTTCGTCCCGTCCTCCGTTGCCATTGATCCTACAGCGGCCGAAGGGTGGGATTGTATGGAGGGAGTGGAGAGTGTGCTGCGCAATACCTCAGATCCACACCATTTTGGACTTTGATTGGCCAAGCCACTAGCCTTGCTGTTGCATCTGCTCGAACGCGATGCCACGCCTCACTCCTCCCCATGCTGGTCTGACCTTTGGCCTTGGTCGTCCTTGAGAATCCAGTTCACAGATTGGGAAGTTGTACCGTAAACCGGCCAGCAACCGATTCTCTCGCTGTAGTAGGTCAGCGACTCTCTCATAACCTCCCGCCACACGCTTCTTGAAGGTGCAGCCGTATGCCTTGCGGTGCATATCGACCATCTCAGCCGCTTGTGAGCCAGCAGATTCAGGAACTTGGGGGGTGGAAGGGGGGGGGGGGATTGGGGGGGGGTTGGGGGGGAAGGGGGGGGAAGGGGGGGGAGGAGGGGGAGATGACGGGAGGGTTTGGGGCGGACATATGTCATTGAGCTTGCCATGAGGACCCCCACAGACACCTTTGTGCACGTTTGCTTAGTATAGCAGACCCTAACTTGACTCACCCGCGCTCATGGCCGCTTCGATAAGTCGTTTAGTGGCATTCGGAGCGGCTTCCACAAGAAAGTAGAGGACATCGTCTGGGGTCGCCAACATCTCTGTGCTCGACAGCACAGAGACACCGACGCGCAAAGCACTTAGTAGTGGCCAAATGTTCACCGAGATGTTCACGGATCCTTTCTCGACATCCTTGAGGGCTTGAACGGCGGGGTGCTCTCCAAGGGTTGGAGGGTTGCGTGGGTTGGCTCGTGACTGCGTCCTTTGGGATTGGTAGACATATGGTAGAGGGGAATTGTGTTAGTTGCCTGCCCGAACATGAAACAATAACATGGTTTAGGCGACTCCATAGTGCGCTACAGTGATCGATGTTGAGGTTTCCATACAGGGAGGGTGGGGGGAGGGGAAGTATACATTAGGAGGAGGGGGGGAGGGTCATAGAGGGGGAATAGAGGGAGGTAGTTTGGACATGTAGGAGAAAAGCGTTGGGCTGAGTGAGACAGGGAGAGCTGCATGGAGTATCGCACACGGTGGAGAATTCGCTGGGGAATCGGGTGGGGGTAGGCGGAGGGGGAACGAAGCGAGGTATTGATGACGGCGGATACAGAGACACCGCAGGGGGGGGTAGTAGGTGGCAGTCAGCTGACGGGGTCCACTGGTGAGGATTCAAGGTTTGGAAGGGGGGGGGTAGGGGGGACGAGGGAGTGCAAAGGGAGGAGTTTGGCAATGAGAGGGAGTGTAATCTAGCTGACGGCTTGCGTCTAGCTGATTTATGCGGCGAAGAAAGGCGGGGCAGGGAGGAGGGGAGAAGAAGGGGGATACATTTGTGGAGGCTGTGGGGCCTATGAAGGGCGTGGAGAGGGTGACGAGGGGCGAGCAAGAGACCGTATGAGGCTAAAGAATGGCCATCATACAGGGGTGTAACGTGGTATAGTGGCAATGGGCTGGTGTGCATCGCACACTTTGGGAGGATTAGTAGTTCACCAGAGATCGCTGCACGGGGGCGGGGGGGGGGAGAACAGGGGGGAGGGAGAAAGGGGAATGTTTGAGTGGGGTGCGTATCGGGGGATAAGGAATGTCGTAGCTGCTAGGGCTATTTCCCTTGCACACAGAATGGGGTAAGGTGCTGGATTTGTGGGTGGGGGAAATGGAGGTGTTTGCTAGCAGCGGGGAGGTTCCCACCTCACAGGCACGAGTCCTGTGGGGGGTTAGAGCATGGCCAGCGTGGAGGTTTCAACTGCTAGGCTGTGAGCTGGCGCAGCAAGAAGCAGAATGAGGTGGGATTGTCCTCATGTGAGACTGAGTACATGGCCTTACACCATGGGGCCAAGGAAGTAGTGTGGCTAAGGCGTTTGTTGGAGGAGTTGGGAGTTGGTCAGGAGAAGCCGACAGTTGTGTTTTGTGACAATGAGTCCGCTGTGAAGCTCGCCAAGAATGCTTGTCTGCATGGGCTGACAAAACACATAAGGCCTAAGTGGCACTGGGTGAGGAGACTTCTTGATAAGGAGGTGCGGCTGGAGATAGTGAAGACCCATCAGCAGGCAGCAGATATTTTCACTAAGCGTCTGGCGGAGGCGGATCATTGGAAGGGCATGAAGCTTGCTGGGATGAGTGTGCATTGAGTATGCATGCTTGAGATGTGGTATGGTCGATGATGGTTGGCAGCCAGAGGGGGAGATTGTTGTGTGATGTCATCATATGCTATCACATTCTGTCTGCCTCCCATCCCATGTTTTTTCAACTTGCATGTGTGGTTTGAATGTGCAAGCATTTGTGTGTGGTGTGTTCTGGAGTTTGGGAATGTGTTTTGTGTTATTCTGTCTGAGCAGGTATTTGTGATGATAGATCTTGAGAAGATCTTTCCGACGCAACAAGAATCGCTTCAATCGGAGCAAGAACGCGAAAGCTATGAAGATTCAAAGTTCATGAGCTTGCGTTACAATTGCGGCGGTTACAAAGTGAAGTTGTGGGGTGACTTTATATGGAGTTGGGACCTTTGGGGTTGGGGAAATTTGTCACTCTACTATAACAGCTGCAAATTGGTTGGGAACAACCAAAGCTAGGTTGGCAAGGGTGGCCAACTTGGATGGATTGGTTGGGAAGGGACAAAGGTCAAAGTTGAGGTTCCTATAGGGAGGGAATCTTTGTGCTTATGGGGTTTCCTTGGTTGGGGACTCTCTTGGGACCTTCCCTCTCGTCCCTCTCTTTCTATCCCAACCTTTCTCTTGCTCCTTCTAATTCCTTGTGAGATTCTTGAACTTTGATTGAACTCTTGAGATTGAGTTAAGTTCTCCTCCTACAGCTTACCCCCTAGTGCGTCGAAAGCCATAGCGTCGCGAATACTTCATCAATCAACGTGATTCAAATTGGGAACGGTAGCTGAGATCAAGAGCTACAACATATCCAAGTTTCGCGACATTCCAACGGCTAGTGTTTTGTCGACGTCGTTTCTTGTGAAGACGACTTTTCTGTCCAGAATTTCGGATTTATATTTTGAGTAATTCTAGCTCCTAAGTTCACCTAGACTCTGTCCTTAATTCTAACAAATCTGTCCTCTCTAAATTGTTTCCCCTTCAAAGCATACAGGGTGACTGATGAAGGTATAGTAACATGCAAGGGTGGGCTGGTTGGGGGGGTCTGGGGGCGTGTCTCCCATATGGGTAATGGTGCAACCCTAAGCCGTGGAACCTTGGCACTTCCCTTCACACCCCTCACTTCACCTCCTCCCATTTCGTTTCCAGCCCCCTTGTGCCAGTTTCCCTCGTGACATGCCTCTAGTGCGAGGTGGGGTTCACTGCTCTGCCCCCCCCCCCCTCCCCCCCACTCCGCGTGCATCTCTGCCGCCAACGATCTGGTCGTAGTCGTACATTTCTCATTGAGGCTATTCCCGAGGTCACCTTTTGGCTTCCCTTGGAAAAGAGCTCACCTGCGTCGAGGGGCAGAGCCTGCTGGCCTGCGCTTTCCCCTCATCACGGGTATCGATTGTCCAGCAGGACGGAGCCCGTACCACGTTCCCGCGCAACCGTCGCACCCTCTGCTAAATCCTCAGGAAGACGCCAACATGGCGCATGTGAAGATAAGAGAACAGGGGAAGCAGCACAGGGACGGTGCAAAAGAGTGTAACGCGGGTGGGTGCAGGGCGATGGCGAGTCAACCTTGGGCCCTCGATCGATCCTCTACATGTATAACCTAAAACAATCCTGAGGATGGGGAAGACGGACAGCTTGGCTGAGAGGGGGAGAAGTGTGGCAGGAGCCTAATAGGGGGAGAAGAGAAAAAGGGATTGGGAATATAGGAAAAGGGGCAAAGAGGGGCGGTTGGGAATAACAAGGTAGGAAGGTGAAAGCAGGGAGGGATAGGGAAAAGGTGGGTTGATTAGTGGGAATTTAGGGGGAAAGGAGAAAACACTAAGATTCTATGGGAAAGCAGGGGGTGATGGGGCAAACAGGGGTTGACGGGGAAAAGACAGATTGATTGGACGGAAACAGTGGAGAACGGGGAACACAGGGGAAGATTTGATGGGAGGGCGGGGGGTGATGGGGTATAGAGGGGTTGACGGGGAAAAGGCAGGTTGATTGGAGGGAAGCAGGGGAGAACGGGGAAAACAGGAGAAGATTTTATGGGAGAGCAGGGGGTGATGGGGAAAATAGGGGGTGATGCGGTATAGATGGGTTGACGGGGGAAGGGCGGATTGATTGGTGGGGAACAGGGGGTAGGGAGAAAACAGAGTAAGATTCTATGGGGAAGCGGGGGGTGATGGGGGAAACTGGTAAGACAAAACAGGAGTGGGAGAAGGCAGAATCCCGCGCCTGGCCTCTCCCCTCAAACCCTAATCTAGCGGCAAACGCACCCGCGGGCTCAGGTCCATAAGCAACACCACCATTCTAGGCCGCCACGGCAACAGGAAAGGTCGCCATAATGTGTGGGGCGTCTCGCGCCTGTCGCGCAACCGAATGGGACAAACAAAGCCATCCCGGCTATTTCGGGCGCAGCTCTCTCGCAGGGTATTGGCGATCCCGCACGCAGCCGCAAAACCCCGTGCCTAGTTATAGAATTCTGCTCCTTGTCACTGCATTCTGCGCCTAGTCACAGAATCCCGTGCCTAGTCACAGAATCCCGCGCCTAGTCCCGGAATCCCGCGCCTACTCACAGAATCCCACGCCTGGTCACATAATCCCGCGCCTAGTCACGGAATCTCGTGCCTAGTCACAGAATCGCGCGCCTAGTCAGAGAATCCCGTGCCTAGTCACAGGATCCCGTGCCTAGTCACAGGATCCCGCACCTAGTCACAGGATCCCGCGCCTAGTCACAGAATCTCGCGCCTAGTCACATAATCCCGCGCCTAGTCACGGAATCCCGCGCCTAGTCACATAATCCCATGCCTAGTCACGGAATCCCGCGCCTAGTTACGGAATCCTGCGCCTAGTCACGCAATCCCGCGCCTAGTCACAGAATCCCGAGCCCAGTCACAGGATCCCGCACCTAGTCACAGAATCCCGCGCCTAGTCACAGAATCCCGCGCCTAGTCACGGAATCCCGTGCCTAGTCACGGAATCCCGCGCCTAGTCACGCAATCCCGCGCCTGTCACAGAATCCCGCGCCTAGTCACAGGATCCTGCACCTAGTTACAGGATCCCGCGCCTAGTCTTAGAATCCCGCGCCTAGTCACAGAATCCCGCGCCAAGTCACAGAATCCCGCGCCTAGTCACAGACTCCCACGCCTAGTCACAGAATCCCCCACCTAGTCACAGAATCCTGCGCCTGGTCACAGAATCCCGTGCCTAGTCACAGAATCCCATGCCTAATCACAGAATACCGTGCCTAGTCACAGAACCCCGCGCCTTGTCACTGCAGTCTGCGCCTGGTCACAGAATCCCACGCCTAGTCACAGAATCCCACGCCTAGTCACAGATCCCGCGCCTAGTCACAAAATCCTAGGAATCCTTGTCACATTGAATGTGCGCCTAGGCTCCCGTGCTCCTTGCCTCGTGTCTTCCTGGGGCGACGTCGTGTGTGGCGTCGGCGTTTCCGTCCCCCGCGTTCTGAGTTTGTCTCGCTCTGGTTTCAGCCTGCCAACTCTGCCTTGGACGTTCTTGGTTCGCGGCACGGAACTATCGCTGGATAGGTTCACGCTCAGCTTCCACACCCAGCCAGTACTATCCGTGTAAGCGCCTTTGTCGTGCTTGTTATTGCGCTGTTTGGATTCCGCTTCAGAATGCCAGTGTGCTGCTTCTTCCCTTCTACTAACAGAGGTTTGCATAGGCCTGTTATGTTGGTGCCGGGTGGAGTAGTGTCATGTCAACTAGTCTCATTTGCCATCACCTGGAGCAGTAGTGCATTTCCTGTTTTGCTCCCTGCAGGACATGCTGGTCCCCTCTCGGGATTGCGTGCAACATTCCACCTGTTTCGCGTGCTTCCTTTTTTCCGCCTAACGCCCATTCCCGAAATCCTTTTCGCAAAGTTTAGCTTGCACTGTTTTCAGGGTCAAGATTCTTGTTTTTCAACCATTCTGAACTCGGACTTTAAAGCCCGACCAGCAGGTTGCAACTCTCTTTTTCTCAAGATGCTGCATCTTGAGAAACTGTAACCGAACCCACGCGCAGCAGTGGTTGACGAGACTCAAACTCCTCAACTCTGTGCCTCGACAAACTTGGCAAGTTTGCGTCCCTGCCAAGTATCGAGGTGAACAAGCACGAAGTGTGCTCAAAGGGTAATTACTCGTTTAAATTTTGACTTTCGAGCGGTTTAGCGCGAGTGTACCGATGTGTGTTTGATTGCACAAGGGCGAAACCGAAGCCCAATAGTTTCAGGGAGGGTTGTTAGCGCAAAAACGCAGGCACGAAAACCCCCCTTGCCCTAACAAAAAAAAAACGATTGGGTTGTTAGCGCAAAAACGCAGGCACGAAAACCCCCCTTGCAACATGGCAAAGAGGCAGGTGTGAGTCCCCTGCCAAATGGCGGGGCTCAAACGTGACACCTCTGCCAGGTTGCGTAGCCCTTGGGAACTCCCGCGCAAGCACGAGGTGGACGAATATGAAGTTTCGCAAAAACGTTTCGCTTGTCTTTTTCCTCGTCAACCAATCGTAACATGCCGCCCCTCCTACTTCAACAGTACCAATATGCAACCTGCCCGGTCGGGCTTTAACCATTGAGCTGAAACCTTTGGCTCTGATTAGCAAGTGTCATAGGATCGAATCAGATTTGCCCCAATGTTGGACTATCCATGAGTACAAGGTGCTTTTGTACTTCCATAGTGCATCAGGTAACCAAGTTTATAATATCTAGAGGTAATAGACCCTTCTAGAAATAAAATCATCCTGCGTATAGCCATGCCAGGCTATTGGCTTTAAGGGACTACAACAGGATTACGCTAGATATAGCGCGCCTGTACATCCTGAGCTCTCACAGTCTGCATGGCACGGAGAAAAGATGCGGAGGCAGACACTAGCCCGTTCGCAGTCTCGCCCTCCACCGCGCGAGAGAGGGCAGTCACGGCAAGAGGTGTCGCGGCAGCCTCGTCAGCAATAGCGCGAGGCGCTGTGGGGACGTACACCAGTCCCACAGCAGACGAGTTGCTGCCTCCTCCACGCGAGCCCGCTGGCGCCGTGACAAGACAGGATCACGAGCAACACCTCCATCACCTCCGCGAGCCAACCGAGGCAGTCCGCTATCCCCAGCAGCTGCTGAGCAAGACTGTAATGCGGACCGTCACGCGACCGACGCAATCGGGGCACGGCGAGAGGAGGACCACACCGCTACCGAACCCCACGCGGCGGGCCAACAGGAGAGGCAAATTCGTCGGGCACCACCTCCCGAGAACGAATCCCAACGAGCGGACGCCTATAGGGCGGATCATGACCGCCGCCAGCGCGATAGGAACATGGACAACGCGGCACCTCCGACGCTTCAGGCAGCAGAGGAAACAGGTCAGACAGGTGTTGTGCCTCCCACACGCAAAGGTGGCTTCGGGGAGACAACAGCAAATCCAGCTCCATCATGGAACGTGGATCGCGGAGAGCAGGGGGTGGCTTCAGGGACCGGGGCAGGGAGCAGCAGACTGACGGCACGAGGAGCGGGAACCGTGCGGGGGGGAGGGAGAGCAGGAGGACGCCACGGAAGGGGATGCAGAGGAGGACGAGCGGGCAGAGGACCAGAGGCAAAGCTGGCGGAACGGGGAGAGAGGCTCTGGAGGGAGCGCCACGGAAAGGAACTATGGGCGGAAGTAGAGGGGAGAGCTAATGGGGAAGAAAGCTCCGAATCATCAAGTTATATGCCCTCCTCTGCAGCACCCCTGGAGGACGAGTCAGTCACTGAGGAGGGGCAGACTGGAGGGGGGGAAATCGGAACGCGAGATGATCTGAGGTGCACTCACATGGAGGGAACATCGGAGCACCACTAAACCCCAACCCAAACTTGGCGAACCCAGCGGCACTGGAAACCCGTGCGCCAGAAGTTCTGGCAGGGGATAACGAACTCTGGCGAAGAGTTGAAGTATGGGACATTTCTCAACTTACCAACTCGCGACAACCCCACTTGCCGTGGCGCCTGCCCCCAAAATTTTTGGAGAAATTCACACACTGCCTCCTGACCCCGCTCATCCGAATCTCAACCGAGTCAACTCGACTCGGAGTGTGGCTGGTATTCCAATTGCTACCCCCGCTGACCCTAAACATGGGGGCAGATCAGAAACCAGACTGGGTGGCAATACAACACCATTTCCACCTGTTTAGATCTGGCGCGTGGGAATACCTACTACGATAAGCCCAAACCAACCTGACAACCCGCCAAACCACGCAACACAAACCAGACACACAAGGACTAAAGGCACGGGCAGAGGGCCTGGTCAAGAAGGCGAACCTCGCCAAAGCAGCAACGGCACTCCACCACACCCCCCTCGCCACAGCATCAGAATCCACCCTCCTGACGCTACATGACAAACACCCACCTGCAGCGAGCCCACTTCCGGCACAGCTGGCAGGCCATGTCACCTCGACCCTCAGCATACCAGCAAAAGAGTTCAAACGCCTACTTGCCTCCTGCTCAAATGGAGTGGGCGCAGGACCCTCGGGAGCCTGCTATGTGCATCTGCGGGACCCCGCGCTGACCAACAGGGAAGACTGCAAACACCTCCACTCGGGATGCAACCACCTGCTCAGCACGACTGTACCAGACGACATAGCAGACTTGCTCCTGCTCAGCCGCCTCCTAGGCTTCGAGAAACCAGGTGGTGGGGCACGGCCCATAGCCATAGGATAAACCATCCTCAGAATAGTGGGCAAAGCAGCATTACCGTCTCTCGGAGCGGAGATCAGATAGTACCTACTCCCAGTTCAGTTCGGGGTCGCGAATTTGGGAGGCTCGGAATGCGTTATCCATGCCATCAAGACGTACCTCAACCCCACCCAGACCATACAGCCATAGCGATTGGCATAAGCAACACGTTCAACTCGTTAGAACATGCTGCCTTCTTCGCTAGCCTGCTCTGGTCTCGACTAGCGGCACTGATACCGCTAGCAAAAAGCCTCAATGCCCGACCGTCACTGTTTTTTTTGGAAGACGGCTACGTTGAGACGGCACTCACCAGCGATCGTGGCATCCACCAAGGAGACGCTATCGGCCCGCTACTCTTCGCAACCGCGATTCAGCCGGCTCTTCTCCGCACAGCGACCGCCTACCCAGCAGTGATGCTAACCGCATATGCCGCTGACATCACCATTGTCGCCCCCCCAGCTGACACAGGAGACGCTCACACACTCCTGAAATCCCTGCTGGCAGAAAGTGGGCTGACATGCAACCAACAAAAAAGTGCCGCATGGAGCCCGCGAGGCATCCCACCAGGAACCATACCAATGGGGATACCTGAAATGACAGATGGGCTACGAATCCTGGGCAGTCCGGTGGGCACACCGGCCTTCTGCAAAACCTATCTACGGAACGAGCTGCCGACAGCCGCGCAACCACTACCACTCATTGCGGGCCTTCACCCGCAACACGCTCTGCTCCTGCTGTCAAAGTGTTTCTCCCGAAGAGTCACCTTCCCGCTCCGCTCCACGCCAGTCGACCTACTACCCTTCGAGACATGGAGGGATTGGAGTGAAGGGCTGGTCAGACGGGCACTGGATGCGGCACTACTGTGGTACCCCCAGTGTGCACTCGACCAGAGCCTGCTTTGGAGGCAAGCAACCCTCCAACAGGACTCGGGGGGTTGGGCATCATTGATCCAGTGGCGGAGGCGCCGACAGCCTATCTCGCCTCGACCACAGCGGTCAAGCACCTCCTCAGCTCCCACCCCCTCAGCCAGGACCCCCCCTGGCAACGACAGCAGCACAGCTCACCGCAGCAGCAGCAGATGGGCTACCAGTGCAGCAAACCCTCCACGACATGGAAGGGCGGCTGCTGGAGAAGGGACAAGCACTGCTGCAGGAGGAACGAGCAGGAGCTGGGGGGCGACGGCTACAGCAACAGCTTTCGGCAGAGCTCAACCATGCGTGGGCTGAAGCACCGCTGGCTGACACATGACTCGACCGGCCAGGAATGAAAACAGCCATGCTATCCGACTGCTAAGCCTACGGGGTCTAGGGCCGGGGACTGGCTCCACGCCATCCCCACATGCCCTGACCTCAGCCTCTCACCAGGCCAATTCTTAGTGGCCCTGGGCTTTTGCCTTGGCCTTTCCCTCCCAGTCCTGGGCACCTGCGACTGTCGCAAACGCACAGCCATACCCGACTACAGCCTACCCAACCACCTACTACGCTGCAGAGATGGCCCTGACGGAAGCGCTAACATGACGCTCTGGTGTACGCGGTCCTGTGGATGGCACGGGAACCAAAGTACATCACCTACCATGAGACAACACTGTACTCCCCACCCGCCAGCAGAAAGCGAGCTGACCTGGCAATCCGGGACCCCGAGTCAGGAGTGACCTGGGTAACGGATATCACCCTCACGGACCCACTGCTGCTCCGCCAGGACCTACAAGCCAGGAAGCAGCCAAGGAAGCAGTCCACGCAAAGGAGAGGAAGTACCGCTCCAGGGCGGAGTATGTGGGGTTTTTCGGTCTGGCCGCCGAAACCTATGGCGTGCTGGCCCCATCAATGGCAGATTTCCTTAAGCTGCTGGCCAAGCATGCGGCGAAGGTGAAACTCTGGGAAAACCCCAACACCAAAACTGCGACCAAGCTAACGGCCCACTTCCCGCAGCGCTGGGCTATCCTGCAGCAGCACTGTCAAGCCAACACGCTGGTGGCCAAGGCCAACCAGGCCACGGAGGCGGCCTTTGACCAGGGAGCACCGGACCCCAGGGACCCCACGCTGGGGGGTCTGTTTCAAGTGCAGGAAGGCAGCTAGGGCAGCAGGGGCCACTGCCAGACACAGGTCCGCCATTAGGGCTGCCCTGTATTGTGCATAATCCCTCTGTTATGTGCATGTATGTGCCACCATGTCTATGCCCATGTACCAACGCTTTAAAATGTAATAAAGGAGTGCTTGAGAGAAGGGGAGAGCGAGAGAGAGAGAGAGAGAGAGAGAGAGCGAGAGAGAGAGAGAGAGAGAGAGAGAGAGAGAGAGAGAGAGAGAGAGAGAGAGAGAGAGAAAGAGAGAGAGAGAGAGAGAACAAGAGAATAGGAGAATGAGAGAGTGGGAGAACGGGAGAATGAGGGAATGTGAAAATGAGACAATGAGACAATGAGAGAATCAGAAATCCAGAAAATGAGAGAATCAGAATGTGAGAGGATGGTCAATGCGAGAATGAGACAATGGGAGAATCGGAAAACCTGAGAATGAGAGAGAGACAATGGGAGAATGAGACAATGAAAGAATCAGAAACCCAGAGAATGAGAGAGTGGTGAATGGTATGACGAGACAATGAGGGAATCAGAAAACCAGAGAACGAGGGAATGATAGGGTGGTTAATTGGAGGATGAGCGAATAAAGAAACCAGAGGAAAAGTGAGTGGGCGAATGTGTGAAAGGAGGAGTGGGAGAATGCAAGAATGAGTTATTGAGAGAATAATTAAAGAGCATGGGATGGAGATAACATGTTTAGTTCAGCTTGAAAAAAGAAGGCATGGTAGAACACGGGAAACGGAAATGAGGATTGAAGAATGGAAAATAAGGAAAACGGAGTAGGGGATTGAAGGCATGGGAGTAGTGGGAAGAGAGAGAGAGGGAAACAGGCCCGCATGCTAGGTGCCAATGCACAACTCGCCACCGCACAATGCGCTAAAGTGCTACGGGCGAGCGCACAACGCGGCCGCGTGCTAGGCGCCAGCGCGCAACTCGCCAGCGAGCTAGGCGCTAGCGCGCATGGCGACAGCGTGCAATGGGCTGCAGATCCTAAAGTGACCTTATAACTAGGTCGTAATGGTGCAGCCAAAAACTTCAAAATCTAGGACACGATGGGTAGAAGTCTTACAAACAAGCTAGGGAGGTGAGTAACATACCTATAAGACGTGAGGTGTGGGGCGTTAAGTGCCATTGCTGGCGAGAAACAGGGGAGTAGCTGGAGATTGACGAGTGGTTGGAGGGAATCAAGGGAGTAGCTGGTGAAAGAAAGAGAAATGAAACCCTAGCAATCGTGCCCTCATCGCATAACAACGTTATCTGCTGGTAAATATGAATCTCGTCGATTTTAGCTTAAAACCCGCGGCCCAAATTGTTCAAACGCACTGCAGATGAACCCTGAGTGTGGGCTTAGATGAAACACACGGAAAAATCGTGAGGGTGTTTCTTCTCACGAATTGGAAAGCGGTTGTGGACCGTCAAATGTGCCCTCAACCATTCGACGGTTGAGATTGCATTACGAATGTCTGTATGTGGTGAGAGCAAAGAAGTTGGCTTGTGGGCCGTCGTGAAACCACTGACGGCTGAAAACTGCACTGCATACGATGTTCCACAATACTTGGCGCGCTCAAATTGAAAGTTAACCCCTGAGTGATGAGCGCCTAGTTACTTTACCCCGTGAAACTACGGTTCTCAAATGCACTGCATTTGAAGGCGGCGCCTCGCAATTTGGGCCGGGAGTTTTAGCTGTCTGTGAGTCTGAGACCACAGGAAAGGCCTCGGGTTCGAATTCTCCAAGTGGTATACTCTGATTGATGAATAAATTGGAATGTTTTGTGTCATTCACAAAAGTGCAATTCTGTTGTTAAGTGAATTTGCCAGTGCGTTGGTGCCACATTATTCATGTACTTTGTCGCCTTTTTGTACTCAAATGTTTTAGTGATACCCAACACTGTTATGATAATCTTCGGATGGGAGTCGAGTAAAGCAACAGAAAGGTAGAGACTCAAGTGTGTCGAATACAAATGAGGCACAGTGCTCAATACAAGCACAGCTAGCCTAGCAAGGGAAATTCGAGGAGGGCTACAAAACATACGCGAGGTGGTTTGGTTGGACGCCTCCGGGCTCGGAAGTGTCAGACGCAACTGCACGTGTAGGCTTGGGGTCTTGAACGTAGCGAAGTCCCTCCACAAAATAACTCTCTATAGAAGCCTAAATGGGCAGGAACGTAGCTCTTATACCAACTGTTATGTTAATCTCCACATGGGAGTCGAGCTATGCAATAGCGAGGTAGTGATTCAAGTGTGTCGAATACAAATAAGGCACATGGCCAAATATAAGCACAGCTAGCCTAGCAAGGGAACCTCGAGGAGGGCCACGAATCACACGCGAGGTGGTTTGGGCGCCTCGGAAGTGTTGGACGTGACTCCACGTGTAGGCTTGGGGGTCTCGAACGTAGTTCATGACCTGGGTTGCACGTGGTGTTAGCGAGGATTCGCTAAGGAAATGGAATTTCCTTAAAAACACCAAATTTCACATAAGTACAAACAGTAAGCAGGCATTAATAAAATCACTTAAAATAAAGAATAACGTCGCAACCCTAAGACGATTTCATCAACTCTTTTTTTCCCCCCCCCTCTCTCACCGCTAGGGCTAGGACTAGGGCCAAGGCGGAAGCGCGGGTGGGCGAGGAGGACCTAGCCTAGCGTGATACGATACCATCTCAAGATAACGAAGTAAACTAGAATGGGTAGTACAGGGTAGTTTTGTGCTAGGTGTTGTACTCTCTATGGCATGCACCTATCTAGCCTATAACAATCTATATCAATATGTTGACACCATCTGCTCTCAATACAAACGCTTCATATATACCGTAATCACCCGGATAGACGCCCCTATGGGCGTTTATAGGACTGGTTTTTAATTAAGGGGGGCGTTTAATTGAATAAAAAATATACGCCCATGGGCGTTTATAACGAATTTTACATAATATATATATATATTTTTTAATGAAAAACTGTAGGTCTTGATGTTTGTAGGCTATTGGGCGTGGTTCCAGAGGGGACACGCCGAGAACATGCACGGAAACTAGGCTTGAATGTACGGCCAGCACAGCAAGGCAAGAAAGCTGCCATGCGGCCCTATCACAAGCAATCCTGGTGCCGTACTGTGCCAGCACACATGGTTTGGTGGTGTTGGGGACCACGTTCCTGCAACATCCGCACCAGGGCAGCGACGTGGCTTGGGATACCAGGAATCTGGGCAGGAATCTTTCAGAAAATATTCCTTCCTCCACCCCTTTCATCGACGAGGAATCTGACCCCGACGAGGAACCCAAGCCGCCTTCCAGGAGGGGGTACCTCGTCGAGGGGTTCAGTATTTCATTTCCTATCGATGTGAACGCTGAAGCAGCACCAGCTCCCCTTGCGGGAGCTATGGCTGGCTTTCCCGTGTCTGGCATTTCGATCCTTTTTGGTAGACCAGGCGAGCCCACACGCATTAGAGCAGAGCATCGTCTAGCTCCTCCAGCACCTCCCGCTCCTCCGGCTCCTCCGGCTCCTCCGGCTCCCCCTGCCCTCCTGCTCCGCCGGCTCCTCCCACTCCTCCTGCCCCGTCAGCGCCACCCACTCCTCCGTACGTGTACGGACTGCCGGTCCTGACTCTGCTGCTGTCGGGCAAGAAAATTCCGCAAGACGACATCAATGCCCATCTAAAGCCCGACGCTAGCTCTTCCGCTGCGCCACCTGCTGCTCGTGATTGGGGGATTCCGCACAGCGATGAGTGGCCTGAGCACGACGCGGATGCTGATGATGGAGCCGAGTACTGGTCTCTGGATGGTCTTCCCGAGAAGCTCCCTGTGCCGTCCTTTCCCGAGGGCAGAAAACCGCCACATCCATCTTCTGTGAATCGAGATGCCTGCCCCCCATCTTCCAGGAATCGGATGAACGGGAGGAAGCAAAAGTCCTACACGGCAAAGGAGAAGCTATTTTGGCTGGACCGACTGAAAGAGGTAAAGAAGAAGAATGAAGTCGCACGAGAGTCTGGAATCTCGCGCCGCCGCATCAACGACTGGTCGAAGCACGAGGAGGAGCTAAGAGCTGCCCACGGCTGCCGTAAGACGCTGCATGGGCAGGGGAGGTCTTCTTGGTACGCCGATATGGAGACACAGGTGTATTCGAAGCTTCTCGCCGCGCACGCTGTGGGAACTCCGGTCCCGGTGTCAAGGCTGCAGAAGTGGTCATGGGAGTTAATGAAGGTTCTTCACCCCGACGTCAAATGGCAGGGCTCCTACTGCTGGACCGAACGATTCCGGTCAAGGTGGAATCTGTCGGTTCGCGCCAAGACGAAAGTCGGTCAGAAAATGACCGATAGTAAGTACATCATCATTGCATCCGTTTCTGTCTCTTCTTTCGCTTATGTACGTACTCTCTTATTCGATTTCACACTGTTGCTCCATATGAATGTTGTACTAAGTCGTGTTTTTATCGAATTCCCATACTGCCCTCCCACAGGTTGCTCGGCAGAGGTCGAAAACTTCTGGCGATTCTGCAGGGAGGTGCGGAGGATGTACGGCATTGAAGAGCGCTGGATAATCAACGCCGACCAAACTCCAATGTGGTTGGAGATGCCGGCTGACCGCACCGTCGAGCAGGTCGGCGTCAACTCCGTCCCTATCCGCTCCGCCGGCTACCAGAAGGAGCGAGTTACTGTTATGCTCGCGTGCACGGCAGGGGGGGAGAAGCTGAAGCCGTGGGTCTACTTCAAAAGGAAGACCATCCCTCAAGGGGATTTCCCCGCTGGTATGTTTTGGTTTCACGGCTTTTGTGTGTTTTCTTTCTTTTTTTTCAATCGCGGTAACCAAGCTTATACTCTGTCTTTATGCAGATGACGTCGTTGCGGCACAGCCGAACGGCTGGATGGATGCGGACGGTGTGAAGACCTGGCTAGAAAACGCCGTCGAGCCCTTCATCCGCCCAAGATTTGGTTTGCGTGCGTGCTCTGCCCTACTCATTCTTGACTCCTACCGTGGTCACCTGATGCCTGAAGTGAAGGAATGCTACGGGAAGCTTGCTGTCGTCCCCGGAGTCATCCCCGCGGGCTGCACTTCCGTCGTGCAGCCCCTGGACGTATGCGTCAACCGAGCTTTCAAGGCTCGGGTGAGGCAATACTACCAGGAGTGGTTTGACTCTGTGGGGATGTATTCCAAGACCGCTAAGGGTGAGTATCTTGTGGCTTGTTTTTAACAGTTTGTTTTCTGTAAACATGGTTCTAACTGAGTGGTTACTCATGTTTGCTGGCGCAGGAAACCTCAAGAAGCCTCCTCCGGAGGAGATCCTGAAGTGGGTCTCCAAGGCATGGAGGGCCATCCCTGCTGCCCTCATTCAGAGGGCTTTCAAGACGTGTGGCATCAGCAACTCGCTCGACGGCAGTGAAGACTATCTGACCCTCTAGCACATGCGCAACAAGCGAGAGGCAGAGGTGGATGTTGATGACGAGGTCGGGGCGGATGGCTTCTCTGGAGACATCGGCAGGCGCTGAGGGTGGGGCTGCAGAGGATGAGGAGGAGGAGGAGGAGGATGAGGAGGATGAGGAGGATGAGGAGGAAGAGGAGGAGGAGTAGGAGTAGACTAGGAGTAGGTGTAATGTGCGATAACCAATGCTAGCCTGAAAGTGTTGCATATCCCAGGTTTAGGTTTGAATAGACTTCTAACTGTCTAAAAAATTGTGACACGACTTTCAGAGGAGTGTGCAATGCAGTCGTCATGCAGTGCAGTCGTCATAGCATTTCATATCTCAATGATACAGCACACTCATAGTTAGAAGTACATGGATGTTCTAAAGGACGAAGCTAAATAGGCAGATGCCGACTAGGAAAATGGGCGAGGGGGGTGGGAGCAATCAGAGAAGAGAAATGAGAATGAGACTAGGTGGCAGGTCCATCGGACCTGCGAGAATGTGAAGGAGCTTGTCTCCTTTACAGCAAAACTCCTCTTCAAATTGAATCACAATCTGTACATTTTTTATTCCTAAAAAATTATTCATATTGTGACACGACTTTCAGAGGAGTGTGCAGTGCAGTCGTCATAGGTCGAACGAAACATCAGGGAGGGGGTTGACGGCGGTGGCGCTCAAGCGTGGCTGCATATCGAGCAGTTGGACTGGAGCGGAGAGGGTCCTGAAGGGTCCGTGAGGCAGTGATAAGCTCGCGATTGAGCTGGGTGACATAACGCTCCTTAGCCGTGTCACTGCGCCAGTGGCCGAGGGCCTTAAAGAGCCGATCAGGAACACCAACATCAACGGCCGTGGTGGCTGCGGACTTGCGAAACGAGTGTGTGCCAAGGACATCAGGATTGAGTCTGACCCGAGAGAAGGAATCCCGGCACCAACTCCGAATGGTGGCATACAAAGGGGAGCGATCGGAAGGGGAAGCTCGAGAGCCTGGCTGAAACACACGGATGAGGGGGCCGAGAGACTGGGCGGAGTACCCAGCGAGGAATAGGAATTGCTGGACGCGAGAGACGGGGCAGTGGCGAGCGGAGGAGGCAGCCACAGGAATCCATGCACTAGTACCCGCCTGGTCGGTCTTGGAGCGGGGAATGAACAACCACATACAGTCCCGGTCAAACTCAATCTGGTGCCACTGGAGGGATATCAGATCAGAGAAGTGCAGAAAGGCGGCAAACATGAGGTGAGGGATCAGCTCCTTCTGGAAGGTCGCAGGATCGGACGACGCGAAGTAGACGTCGCAGATATCGTAGATTTTTTCGGGTGGTATCGTCTCCTTAGCTCAAGCGTGCCTGCCGCAGTGGCGTTGCGCATACTCCTTCACTTGGGAAGATAACGGGCCGCGAATAGGAGAAGGAAGGCCGACCAGCCAATGGGCACATGAGATGGCAGAACATGCGGATCGCACTGCTGAAATAGTGGCGCCACCGCGGATCGAGTGCAACAGGAACAGTGCTGCCGTAAGGTCGCTGGCAGGTAGAAAAGGAAGCGAGTGCGCAGTACAAAAGGCCGATACTGTCGCCAGTAGGGCTCGTATGTTCGAAGAGTAGACTGTGCACGAAGATCGACTATGAGCGTCAAGAGATCCAAAAGTAAGCGGCCGAGGTAGGAATCTGCGCAGAGGCACAGCGCTATGTATTAGTGAATATCAAGCGAAGCGCGTACATCAATGAGTTTGGGAGACCTGCACCGCTAAAAGCAGAATGGTCGCTACCAATGCGCAAACAACTAGAGCCAGGAGCAAGGCGAATGGTTGCGACCACAGCGGGGGCCCAAGAGGAGCCGTCCGGGCATAACAGTGGCCACCAAAAGGCGCTAGGCCAATGCGGGATTACAAGGGTAAGCGAGGTGCGCGAGCGGCGAGCGTGAGCGAGGACAGCGGGGATCAGGGGTGGGGGAGGAAAGGCGTAGCAGTTGTCGCCCGACCAGCTAAGAGAATACGCATCCTGCGCGACTACCGCGTTAGAGAGCTCGAGCGAGCAAAAACGAGCCAGTTGCGCATTAGCCGGGGAAGCGAACAAGTCAATAGTATGAGGACCCCAACGCCTCTCTAGCAGAAGGAACCAAGGTCGTACGAGAGAGTAATCGTTGAGAAGATCCAACTTGGAGAGCGCGTCGGCTTCTGTATTAAGGGTGCGTGGGATCCATTGGACTGTGAGCCGAATTTGGGTGGCGCACGCAAAGGTGGATAATAGCTCGGCATATCAGAGTCAACTCAAGCCGGCGGGAACCCCCTTTTTTCATAATGTAATAGGCGCTTGGCTGTCACCACGGAGCAGGACGTGCGAGCGTCGGACCTTGTCAAGAAAGGTTGACAGTGCCCAAAGGATGCCAGCAAGTTCGCGGAGCGTGCTGGATGAAGAGACGAGGGCCCGAGGGAGTGGTGAAGCATGCGAACCGGCGTCGCCGTCCGGCGCTAAAAAACACGCGCCCCTTGCGCAATCACTGGCATCCACATACATCGCGACGTCGTAGAGATGAGGATTGTAGAAGCGCGAGCAATCGAAGACATCGAACTGGGTGAGCCAGAAACGCAACTCGTCGAGAGAATTGGGTGTCAAGAGAATTGACGCCCACCAAGAGTGACACTCAGAGATCTGAGAAAGAAGATTGTGGGAGAAGGCACGCGCGACCGTGCCAAGTGCGAGCGCCATGGAGGCTAGCAAGCCAGTGATGCGAGTGGCCCGACGGACTGGGATAGGCCGCGTTGCATGCTAAGTGCACATGTCTGCTCAAGTTCGGCGAAGAGTCGCTCGCGTCTGCCGTCATCGACGGAGAAAGACGTGGTGCGAGTGTCCAACAGGAGGCCCAAAAACTTTAGGCACTGGATTGGTTCGAGCTACGACTTCTTGAAGTTGACAGCGAAGCCAGCTGACTGAAGATCCGCTAAAATGACGGCACGGTGGCAAAGGGCACGGCATCGAGTAGCGTTTATGAACAAAATGTTATCGACGTATGGGATAAGTCGGATGTCGCGTCCGCGCCAACGTTTTGCGAGCTGCTTGATCAGCTGAGTAAAACGAACGGCGCAGTAGCTAGACCAAAAGGCAATGATAGAAACTGGTTAGCTTTGGCCCTTGGAGTGTAAAAACCAAGGAAGCGCCAATACGAGGGATGGATATCCACATGGTGGTAGCCGGATTTTAGATCGATGGTGAATAGCCAATCGTCTTGCTGCACCAAGTCGGGCACCCGATTCAAGCCCTCGTAATGAAAACGTGGGACGGAAAGAAATGAATTCACGTGCGGAGGGTCCAATATGAGCCTCTTTTTGGGAAGGTTTGGACGACTACGTTAAGCGGGCTGATGCATGTGAGTGGCTCCGATGGAGGCCAACGAGCTGGGCCGTTCCCGTAGCGAGGAGCTCGTCCACCGCCTCCACCATGAATGTGTGGAATTGGAGTGCCACGGCATGGTTTGAGGCATGCCGCACTGTAGGCTCTGAAGAAGCCCAGGGAAGGCGATAGCCTGACGCCGATGACCGATAGCATGAAGCGGCTATCGCACCAACTGGGACCACCATGCAAAGCAGGCAGCATGCGTCCGTCGCATACGGATTGTATCACCCGATTGTGGCAACATGTACGGCGAAGGAGCCAAGCTCTGGTGAGCGTGGCGGTGACGAACAAGTACAATAAAAAAGCCGCAAGGGCCAGATGTAAAATTATCGTTCTTGACTGTACAAAATACGTTTGCGAAGCATGCGTAGCGTGAGAAGTGTGCTCAAATAGTCGAAGCGAAAGCAAGAATGAAGGCAACACTTTTCAGCAGTGTGCGCTACCAGCAATGTACAATCTTTGTCCATGCTTTCATCCGATCGGAGGTGCGTGTTCCAATGTTCCACGTGGTTTTGTACCTTCTGGATGCCTTTCTTTCCGGCACTTCTGCCGTTCTCATGCTTCCCCTACTCCCTTTTTTGGGGTTGTTGTTTTTTTTTTTTTTTTTTTTTTTTTTTTGCACAGCAAATATTGAATAGATATTGCCGTGCTATATTCGAAGCGATTTGAGCCGCATATGCTCGATCACCAATTGGCACACATCAATCTTTAGCAATGAATAATATATTTAATAGCATCAAGGTTTTACAAAGAATCGGCCATCAAAGCCTCTAGACAATCTTAGCCGGCCGGTTGGCCCCTTGGCCTCGGCGAGGACAATCTTTAAACCCATGACCGGGTTCGCGACAATAAAAGCAATCGACCGTCGCAATCCCGACGCCACGTATTCCAAGTGCGTGCGTCTTCACCCCTACTACGAGGGGGGGGATCGGTGCGGGATGTCGAGGTGGTGGGTCTAGTAGGTCTCTTTTTGCTGGCCGCCACAATTTGTGTGGCGGCCTTAACGTTTTTATCTTCCACCACCTCCCCATATTTAATCTTTAGGGCCATATTGGTCACTTCAAAACTGCGTTGATCTGCGGTGAATAAGAAATGAATCTTTTCCTCCGCCTCCTCGACTATCTGCTGGAGATAGTCGGCAGCTAACTCGCCACCACTAGGGGCAAAGCGGAGAGCGTGCCGAGCAATAGCCTGGATACGCTCGAAACTAAAAAGTTGGGTTCGAATGCCGTCACTTTTTACCAAAGAAGAACGCAACTGAGGACGTGTAGGAGGGATAGGAGCAAGATTCGGGGCGGTAGAACCGGACTTGAGACGAGCGGCGTTACCTTCGTCGAGGGTTTCCATGGCGCGCGTCGTCGGCCATCGCCCTCGGTTCGGCCGCGATGGGAGGAGGGCGGGAGCGTGGCACTGCTGCTGGCGTAGGTCGAGCAGGTGCAGGGGGTGGTGTGGATCACCGGTTTGTCCGCGCTGAAGGGCCGCGAGAAGACGATGACGTGATGAATTGCGTCATTATTAGCGTTGTCGGTGTTGTTGTAATGAGCAAGAATGTGTTCTGCAGATCGGGGTGCTGTAGAAGCAGAAGAGTGCGCTGTAACGCGTTCACCAATTGCAGCACCCGTGAAGATTCGCTGGAAATTTTGCTGGGTGGCGGGGTCCAGACGCACCATCATTTCGGCGAAATTTGCAGATCCATTGGCGATGATGACAGGATCCTGCTGCGCGCGCTGATTCGTCGGACGAGATTCCAAATCGGCGTGGATGTCCAGATTCTGGCGATCGCCACGAACCTGGCGCTCCTGGCGATTTGCGCGCTGGTCAAGATTCTGACGACCCAGGTCCTGACCTGACGCGTCTGGTCACGCTCAGGATTCTGCTCATCATTTCGACATGCGAGCCCAGGATCGCGATGATCATTGCGATCCTCGCGCAGGACCGTCATGATTGCGGCCGAGGGGTGCCGCGCGCAACTGTTCCACGGGTGTCGGGGCGTTTTCTCCTGGCGGGTTCAAGTCGACACGTTCACGTTCTTCACGCCGCCGCTCGCCGAAACCCGGGGGGAAAATCGCGACCGTCAGAAGCGTTGCGATCTCCGATGGGAGCCAATCCGGGTTGCTGAACGGGGTTTCGCCGAGCGCCATTCAGCAAATCCAAGGCAGTAACAGATGCGTTTCTGTTGCGTGGAGAGGGGAACGATCACGGTGAGTAGAAGAATCTTGACTTCCCTCACGCACAGGGGATCCGCGTCATCCATTGCTCCTTAAATTCATTCTTGAAACAGGAGGACGACCAGTTGCAGCAGAAACAATTCCTCCAGTCATGGTAGAAAAACGTGCAGCAATCACGTCCGCAAGTAGCGTGCTCCTATGCCAAGTCTGGGCCGGGGAGGGGTTTAGAGTGTGCTGATGGTAGTAAGCAATCGGAGAAGAGAAATGAGAATGAGACTAGGTGGCAGGTCCATCGGACCTGCGAGAATGTGAAGGAGCTTGTTCCTTTCAGCAAAACTCTTCAAATCGAATCACAATCTGTAAATTTTTTATTCCTAAAAAATTGTTCATATTATGTTTCTAGTGCATTTTTTCTATCTTGGCTAGTTCCTTCAAATACTGTTTGAAAAGAGGGGGGGGCGTATAGGGATTTGATCCGGAGCAGAGAGGAGGGGCCTATAATCAATAATGCTTATTAGTCCCAATGCACGAGTTAATGCCCATGGGACTTATCCTACGGAGGGGTGACTATCTGGGTGATTACGGTAGTGCGAACAGTACGCTCCCAACATTTCTGACAGCATTTGCACAAGAAGCAATCAAGCGGTTTCTGCTGGCAAACGGAGCAGCAGCATACCGGAGAGTGCCCCTGCCATCCATGTGAATGCACCATAAGCGCACAGAGATGACTCGTGAGGAGACTCGTAAGCAGGCCCCTACATATCAGCCTTTTTACGCTGATTCAGCCTTTTTTCAGCCTTTTTTCTTGAACCTACGCTGAACTGAAAGACTTTTTGAGATAGGTAAGGCTGACAAATTCAGCCTTTTGTTTATAATGATGTCTATTGATTTCAGCGTTTTGTTGGAGTGTAGGCTGAGGTTTCAGCGATGTGTCTGGGCGGGAGTCTGAAACCGAGTACAGCGAGATTGCGTCCCTCGTGATTACCGCATCCAATCACACACACCCCCAAGAAAAAATCTCAAAGTCCTCGACCAGTCACACTCCTCTCATACCTTCGGCAACCAAAAAGATTGTGACACGACTTTCAGAGGAGTGTGCAGTGCAGTCGTCAGAGGACTGGAGCGGAGAGGGTCCTGAAGGGTCCGTGAAGCAGCGATAAGCTCGCGATTGAGTTGGGTGACATAACGCTCCTTAGCCGTGTCACTGCGCCAGTGGCCGAGGGCCTTAAAGAGCCGATCAGGAACACAACATCAACGGCCGTGGTGGCTGCGACTTGCGAAACGAGTGTGTGCCAAGGACATCAGGATTGAGTCGACTTGAGGAAGGAATCCCGGCACCAACTCCAAATGGTGGCATACAAAGGGGAGCGATCGGAAGGGGAAGCTCGAGAGCGCGGCTGAAACACACGGATGAGGGGGCCAAGAGACTGGGCGGAGTACCCAGCGAGGAATAGGAATTGCTGGACGCGAGAGACGGGGCAGTGGCGAGCGGAGGAGGCAGCCACAGGAATCCATGCACCAGTACCCGCCTGGTCGGTCTTGGAGCGGGGAATGAACAACCACATACAGTCCCGGTCAAACTCAATCTGGTGCCACTGGAGGATATCAGATCAGAGAAGTGCAGAAAGGCGGCAAACATGAGGTGAGGGATCAGCTCCTTCTGGAAGGTCGCAGGATCGGACGACGCGAAGTAGACGTCGCAGATATCGTAGATTTTTTCGGGTGGTATCGTCTCCTTAGCTCGAGCGGGCCTGCCGCAGTGGCGTTGCGCATACTCCTTCACTTGGGAGATAACGGGCTGCGAATAGGAGAAGGAAGGCCGACCAGCCAATGGGCACATGAGATGGCAGAACATGCGGATCGCACTGCTGAAATAGTGGCGCCACCGTGGATCGAGTGCAACAGGAACAGTGCTGTCGTAAGGTCCTGGCAGGTAGAAAAAGTGCGCAGTACAAAAGGCCCGATACTGTCGCAGTAGGGCTCGTATGTTCGAAGAGTAGACTGTGCACGAAGATCAACTGTGAGCGTCAAGAGATCCAAAAGTAAGCGGCCGAGGTAGGAATCTGCGCAGAGGACAGCGCTGTGTATTAGTGAATATCAAGCGAAGCGCGTACATCAATGAGTTCGGGAGACCTGCACCGCTAAAGGCAGAATGGTCGCTACCAATGGCAAACAACTAGAGAGCCAGGTAGGGCCGTCGCGGGGCATAAATGGCCACCAAAAGGCGCTAGGCAATGCGGGATTACAAGGGTAAGCCAGGTGCGCGAGCGGCGGGCGTGAGCGAGGACAGCGGGGATCAGGGTGGGGGAGGAAAGGCGTAGCAGTTGTCGCCCGACCAGCTAAGAGAAAACGCATCCTGCGCGACTACCGCGTTGGAGAGCTCGAGCGAGCAAAAACGAGCCAGTTGCGCATTGGCCGGGGAAGCGAACAAGTCAATAGTATGAGGACCCAACGCCTCTCTAGCAGAAGGAACCAAGGTCGTGCGAGAGAGTAATCGTCGAGAAGATCCAACTTGGAGAGCGCGTCGGCTTCTGTATTAAGGGTGCGTGGGATCCACTGGACTGTGAGCCAAATTTGGTGGCGCACGCAAAGGTGGATAATAGCTCAGCATATCAGAGTCAACTCAAGCCGGCGGGAACCCCTTTTTTCATAATGTAATAGGCCGCTTGGCTGTCACTACGGAGCAGGACGTGCGAGCGTCGGACATTGTCAAGAAAGGTTGACAGTGCCCAAAGGATGCCAGCAAGTTCGCGGAGCGTGCTGGATGAAGAGACGAGGGCCCAAGGGAGTGGTGAAGCATGCGAACCGGCGTCGCCGTCCGGCGCTGAAAAACACGCGCCCCATGCGCGATCACTGGCATCCACATACATCACGACGTCGTAGAGATGAGGATTGTGGAAGCGCGAGCCATTGAAGACATCGAACTGGGTGAGCCAGAAACGCAACTCGTCGAGAGAATTGGGTGTCAAGAGAATTGACACCCCCCCAGAGTGACACTCAGAGATCTGAGAAAGAAGATTGTGGGAGAAGGCACGCGCGACCGTGCAAGTGCGAGCGCCATGGAGGCTAGCAAGCCAGTGATGCGAGTGGCCCGACGGACTGGGATAGGCCGCCGTTGCATGCTAAGTGCACATGTCTGCTCAAGTTCGGCGAAGAGTCGCTCGCGTCTGCCGTCATCGATGGAGAAAGACGTGGTGCGAGTGTCCAACAGGAGGCCCAAAAACTGTAGGCACTGGATTGGTTCGAGCTACGACTTCTTGAAGTTGACAGCGAAGCCAGCTGACTGAAGATCCGCTAAAATGACGGCACGGTGGCAAAGGGCCTCGGCTCGGGTAGCGCTGATGAACAAAATGTCATCGACGTATGGGATAAGTCGGATGCCGCGTCCGCGCGAACGTTTTGCGAACGGCTTGATCAGCTGAGTAAAAACGAACGGCGCAGTAGCTAGACCAAAAGGCAATGATAGAAACTGGTAGCGTTGCCCTTGGAGTGTAAAACCAAGGAAGCGCCAATACAAGGGATGGATATCCGCATGGTGGTAGCCGGATTTTAGATCGATGGTGAATAGCCAATCGTCTTGCTGCACCAAGTCGGGCACCCGATTCAAGCCCTCGTAGCGAAAACGGGGGACGGAAAGAAATGAATTCACGTGGCGGAGGTCCAATATGAGCCTCTTTTTGGAAGGTTGGACGACTACGTTAAGCGGGCTGATGCATGTGAGTGGCTCCGATGGAGGAACGAGCCGGGCCGCTCCCGTAGCGAGGAGCTCGTCCACCGCCTCCACCGCGAATGTGTGGAATTGGAGTGCCCCGGCATGGTTTGAGGCATGCCGCACTGTAGGCTGTGAAGAAGCCCAGGGAAGGCGATAGCCTGACGCAATGACCGATAGCATGAAGCGGCTATCGCACCAACTGGACCACCATGCAAAGCAGGCACGCATGCGTCCTCGCATACGGATTGTATCACCCGATGTGGCAACATGTACGGCGAAGGAGCCAAGCTGTGGTGAGGGGCGGTGACGAACAAGTACAATAAAAAAGCCGCAAGGGCCAGATGTAAATTATCGTTCTTGACTGTACAAAATACGTTTGCCGAAGCATGCGTAGCGTGAGAAGTGTGCTCGAAATAGTCGAAGCGAAAGCAAGAATGAAGGCAACACTTTTCGCAGTGTGCGCACCAGCAATGTTACAATCTTTGTCATGCTTTCATCGGTCGGAGGTGCGTGTTCCAATGTTCCACGTGCGTTTTGTACCTTTTGGACTGCCTTTCTTTTCCGGCACTTCTGCCGTTCTCATGCTTCCCCCTACTCCCTTTTTTGGGGTTGTTGTTGTTTTTTTTCTTTTTTTCTTTCTTTTTTTGCACGCAAATATTGAATAGCATATTGCCGTGCTATATTCGAAGTGGATTTGAGCCGCATGCTCGATCACCAATTGGCACAACATCAATCTTTAACATGAAATAATATATTAATAGCATCAAGGTTTTACAAAGAATCGGCCATCAAAGCCTCTAGACAATCTTAGCCGGCCGGTTGGCCCCTTGGCCTCGGCGAGGACAATCTTTAAACCCATGACCGGGTTCGCGACAATAAAAGCATCGACCGTCGCCATCCCGACGCCACGTATTCCAAGTGCGTGCGTCTTCACCCCTACTACGAGGGGGGGGATCGGTGCGGGATGTCGAGGTGGTGGGTCTAGTAGGTCTCTTTTTGCTGGCCGCCACAATTTGTGTGGCGGCCTTAACGTTTTTATCTTCCACCACCTCCCCATATTTAATCTTTAGGGCCATATTGGTCACTTCAAAACCGCGTTGATCTGCGGTGAATAAGAAATGAATCTTTTCCTCCGCCTCCTCGACTATCTGCTGGAGATAGTCGGCAGCTAACTCGCCACCACTAGGGGGCAAAGCGGAGAGCGTGTGCCGAGCAATAGCCTGGATACGCTCGAAACTAAAAAGTTGGGTTCGAATGCCGTCACTTTTTACCAAAGAAGAACGCAACTGAGGACGTGCAGGAGGGATAGGAGCAAGATTCGGGGCGGTAGAACCGGACTTGAGACGAGCGGCGTTACCTTCGTCGAGGGTTTCCATGGGCGCGTCGTCGTCCGCGCCATCGCCCTCGGGTTCGGCCGCGACGGGAGGAGGGCGGGAGCGTGGCACTGCTGCTGGCGTAGGTAGAGCAGGTGCAGGGGGTGGTGCTGGATCACCGGTTTGTCCGCGCTGAAGGGCCGCGAGAAGACCGATGACGTGATGAATTGCGTCATTATTAGCGTTGTCGTTGTTGTTGTAACGAGCAGGAATGTGTTCTGCAGATCGGGGCGCTGTAGAAGTAGAGGAGCACGCTGTAACGCGTTCACCAATTGCAGCACCCGTGAAGATTCGCTGGAAATTTCGCTGGGTGGCGGGGTCCAGACGCGCCATCATTTCGGCGAAATTTGCAGATCCATTGGCGATGATGACAGGATCCTGCTGCGCGCGCTGATTCGTCGGGCGAGATTCCAAATCAGCGTGGACGTCCAGATTCTGGCGATCGCCACGATCCTGGCGCTCCTGGCGATTTGCGCGCTGGTCAAGATTCTGACGACCCAGGTCCTGACGCGTCTGGTCACGCTCAGGATTCTGCTCATCATTTCGACCTGCGCGCCTTGGATCGCGATGATCATTGCGATCCTCTTGCGCAGGCTCGTCATGATTGCAGCCGAGGGGTGCCGCGCGCAACTGTTCGACGGGTGTCGGGGCGTTTTCTCCTGGCGGGTTCAAGTCGACACGTTCACGTTCTTCACGCCGCTCGCCGCGAAACCCGGGGGGAAAATCGCGACCGTCAGAAGCGTTACGATCTCCGACGGGAGCCAATCCGGGTTGCTGAACGGGGTTTCGCCGAGCGCCATTCAGCAGATCCAAGGCAGTAATAGCTGCGTTTCTGTTGCGTGGAGAGTGGGAACGATCACGGTGAGTAGAAGAATCTTGACTTCCCTCACGCACAGGGGATCCACGTCGTCCATTGCTCCTTAAATTCATTCTTGAAACAGGAGGACGACCAGTTGCAGCAGAAACTATTCCTCCAGTCATGGTAGAAAAACGTGCAGCAATCACGTCCGCAAGTAGCGTGCTCCTATGCCCAGGTCTGGGCATAGGAGGGGTTTAGAGTGTGCTGATGGTAGTAAGCCATCAGAGAAGAGAAATGAGAATGAGACTAGGTGGCAGGTCCATCGGACCTGCGAGAATGTGAAGGAGCTTGTCTCCTTTACAGCAAAACTCCTCTTCAAATCGAATCACAATCTGTAAATTTTTTATTCCTAAAAAATTATTCATATTTTGTTGAAGTCCTTGGAAACCAGTCACACCCCCTCTCGTAACCCCCGCAACCTTGGAGAGTTCGTGCAAATCCTTAGCAACCAGAAACACCCCTCACACCTCCCCCCCACCCAGAGAGCCGGACAGGGCTCACGATAGACGGGTAATAATCCGGAATTTCGATGAAATTCCAGATTTTTCCAGCGAAACCCGTGCCGGAATAAAATCCGGATTGGTTAAACGGGCCTGAAATTTGCCCGTTTGAAAGCCTATTCTATCCTTTCGACGACCTCCACGTCCGTGGGACCTTATAAATGCATAAACTGAGGCATCAATATTCAATTCGGGAAGAATCAGGATTTAAAAAAACCCAATCGTGAGGCCTGGAGCCGAAGTCTCGACTCTACTGTAGCTAGTCACGCTAGTCCTTTGCCCTGGGGTGGGGGCGCCACGCTGGCGCGCAAGCAACTTGGCTTTCCTGAGGTGGTTGGCGCGCAAACACCTCAAAATTTTATATCGCACCACATCACTGGCAATTCAAGTGCTTCAGGCAGTGTTCTTGCCTCGGGAAAACATCTGGGCGGCACATTGGGGCATTTTGTATACAGTCGATGTAAAAAAATATGGAGTTTTAGACCATCTCAGCCGTACCGGTATACGAGACGCCCCGAAGTCCTGCCTGGAAGTTTTCCTCGAGGCAAGAACACGCCCTTAGGCAAGCGTGAAATCTGTTAAAGTCCACGCTAATCCTAAAAGACCTTTCAGAATTTGCATCAGACTTTAATTCTCGACTAATTCTGAATTATCAGCGTAAAATTTTTAGGTAACGCTGCAATTTTCAGCCTTTCTTCCAAGGGCAAGTCTGCAAAATCAGCCTTAATGCAGGAGGCAGGGATGATGAATCAGCGTGTCCCAAAACGAATCTTAGGGCCTGCTCATAAGTCACCTATCGTACAGGGGGGTGTCCAGCCAGAACGTCACACTCCTGACCGAAGCAGCAGTGCAATGATGAGGTGCGGTGCCTTCACATGGCTCGATGGCAGCAGGGCGAGGGGGGGCGACTCTAGCTGGCGAGGCGGCAGCAAGAGGAGGAGGCGCCCCGAGTGAGCTTGATGGCAGCGGGGCTTTCCTTGTCCACGGCGCCCGACAGCACCACCTGCAGCTGCTGCTGCTGCTGCGATGCCTTGTCGCACTCACATGAAAAGAGCACAGGGGCAGCAGTAGAGGTGCCCGCACAGGGGCTGGTGGGAAGGGGTATTGGAGGGTAGAGGGTGAGGGGATGCCTGTGATGCCTTGTCGCACTCATAGGAGAAGAGCACGGGGGCAGGAGGAGTGGCGCCCGCACTGGGGCTGGTGGGGGAGCAGAGGGACGGGGAGGAGGGCAGGGAATGGGAGAAAAAAGGGAGATGTCAGAAGGGGAATGCAGGATGCATCCATCAGACAGCACCACCTGCAGCTGCTGTTTCTGCTGCGATGCCTTGACGCACTCAGAGGAGAAGACGACATGGGCAGGAGTAGTTGGGCCAGTATACGGGCTGGTGGGGGGAGCAGAGGGACGGGGAAGGCGGGTAGATGGGCGGAGGGAAGAGGAACAAAGGGAAATTGTTGTCTTCAAACGAAGAGGTGAATGTGGAATGCACGAAACGAAGGAGGCAGAAAGGAACGTTGCACCTTGCACTCAAGAAGGCACAAGGTAAGTAGGTGAAAAGAGGAATGGGGAGAGAGCAGTGCCAGCAAAGGGGGAGATAAAGCATGGAGTGGAAAGAGCAAATAGAAATGGGGGAGCGAGACAAATGAAAGATCCGTACCGCCATGCCGCGTTTGCTGTCAGCTGGGGAGCCCACTGGAACTTCTTACGAGCAGGGGCCTTCAGCCTCACAGTAACCGCCCCGCCACACCCCCCTCCACCGTCCTTGCCAATTCCATCCCCAAAGTGCACCCTCACACGCGTCGGCTGCCACTTTGCCTTCCCCTTGCGCCCCACGATCTGCACCTGATACACCTCCCCTACCAGCGCCGTGAACCCAAACAGCCGCTCCGCCGTGCCATCCTCCTCCACCTCAATGTGGTCCAGGTCGCCGTCGAACGTCTGCTGCCTGCCGTCCCTCACACGCACCACTTTAATAAAGCTCATAGCGCCGTGCTTCTGCCCCGCGCGCTCGTTGGCGGCGGTGGCGGGCTCGTAGTACCGGACGTTGACGGTGCGGAAGCAGTGTGCGGGTGCGGGGCATGCGAACGCGTTGGTGCCTGGGATGGGCTTGCAGGAGCCGTAGGAGCCGGAGGGGGTGCGGGGAGGGAGGAGGTTGGGGTTGTTGGCCACGAGAAAGGCGGTGGGGGGAGTGGCGGGATCCTCTGAGGCCGCTGTGGCGGTTGAGTTGAGTCCGGAGCTCGTGAGGGGAGTGGCGGCAGTCAGAAAGCGCGTGGCGAGAGGGGAGGAGGAGGAGGAGGAGGAGGAGGAGGAGGAGGAGCGGACAGGAGAGCAGGAGGTAGAGGCGGGGTTGCCAAAGGACGAGCGGGAGTGCCAGGGTGAGCGATGCCTGGGGTGGTACTTGCCATTCCTGTGACTGCGGCTGTGGCTTCCACCAGTTGCTCTAAAAGCTGACGATTCAGCAGCGGCCGCAGGGGCTGCAGCAGCAGCACGGCCA